AAAGGTGCTTTGCTTCCACACCCGAATGTACACTTTGACCACACATTCATTGACTTTCTTTTTTAAAAAGAAAAAGCAGATCCCATTATTCAATTCAGGGATTGCAAGAACAGACACCGATAAATCAGTTACTAAGAAGAACAAATTTCCTTAGCTTTTATTAATAGCATAGCCAAGGGACTTGGCACCAAAACTGACCAAAAAAAAAATCAAAAATCTATCTACTTACATTCTTCCTTCAATGTTTTGCTGGTTTATGCATTTCATCCTCCAGTTCTGAGCAGGAGTACAGCACTTGTCCCAGTTTAAATAATGGGAATGTAAGGCTGTAAACCTTTATATATTAATGATGATTACTCTTGAAGCCTATCTATTCTAACATTGGGAGTTTTAAAGAAGAGATTGGACAACCATTTGTCTGAAATGGTATAGGGTTTCCTGCCTGAATAGGAGGTTGGATTAGAAGACCTCCAAGGTCCCTTCCAATTCTGTTATTCTGTTATTTGACGCTATGCATCTAATTTAAAAGCTGTTCTGTTCAACAACGGAGCTGGCATCTAGCAAGGATGCACAGAACCAAAGTCTTAGTACAGTATGTGGGAATTTTGTTACAAGTAAGATGACGTTCTACTTTAAAAGCAGAAGGAAATTTATCAAGGGATAGGTACACCACTCAGTTTGAAGGTAGCCACCCTTCCTGTTTCAACACAGAAACTGTGACAGTGCGAGAACCAAAAGATACATTTCAGGTATTGCACATAATGATGGTTCCCATGTCGAACCAAAATACAATATATTTACGCTTCGAAACCTCCTCACAACACCAGGAACTCTTTCCAATGTTGACAATTGGTTATTTTACAATCCATTTTTGCTCCTGCTGAATTTATACTTCATGAACCACATTCAATACGAGGGGAAAAAATATGGAAGACAAAAGATTTCAGCAGTTGTAGCAAAAGATAAGATGTGAAAATATTAGGATAAGCTACTTTTGATTTCTACTAAACTTCAGATCATGACAATAATCTTCAGACCAGGGCAATTATACTTTATTCAAGACCTGAGATGAATAGAGATTAGAGATGAATAGAACAAAGATGATTCAATTAATCAAGCTAACAGAATCAACTGTATTACTTCCTTGAAGACTAGTTAGCATCTGAATCACTATCATAAAATGTTTGGAATCCAAAAGGCATGTTAATAACCAATAAGTTGTTTCTTAAAAGAATGAATACATTCAGAAAGGTTATGTCCAGTTATTTGTCACAACTTGTCACAATTTGAATTTCTAGGTTTAGACACAGAATGACATTGAATGATTTGTGGGGTTCTTAAATACATGGGAACAAGACAGGATAGTGGTTCGGATAGTGATAAGATAGTGATTCTTATCCATTCTAGTTCCTTTTTTTAATATTGTGCTACTAAATGTTTGTGTCCTTTGCCTCCACAATAGGCTTGCTCCAGTGAAGGAAAACCTTTATGCAAGTGTAAGGGAAGATTTGATGATGATAGGCTATAAGTACCTAGTTTTATCTCTCTTGTATTCGCAGAGGTCAAGAGTTTCGTGGCATTTTAAAAATTAACCTGCTTAACATAGCTCTTTTCACAAACTAAAAGCATACCTATCACTATTAGCATGAAGCATTTTGTTAACTGGGTAACTTTTAGACATCAACACACAAACACATAAAAGCAGACCAAACTGCAAAAAGAATTTTAAGGTTGTGATGTTTCTACCCAAAACTCAGGTTTGCTTAGAAAACATGCAAAGTGTGATTTATAACAGCAGAACTGAACAATCTGTCTTTTATCCTCACTCCCCCCCCCCTCCATCCATGTAAGGTGAGATTCTTCCTTTCTCACATCAACACATAGATCTGCAAATATATAACGAGGGAGGGAGGGAGGGGGGAGGAGGGGGAGAGAGAGAGAGAGAGAGAGAGAGAGAGAGAGAG